CACATTTTTTAAGGTCAATCATTTCATTTATGTTATAACATTAGAATAATAACACTTGAAATGAATAAGGTAGTAGTTAGTAATAAGTAAAGTAATGTATAGATATACATAAGTTAATAGATAAATGAATATTGAATAGATATATGTAGAAAGAAAGAAAGAAAGAAAGAAAGAAAGAGGTTCACCTTAGTCCTATGAACTTCATACATGTTGAACCTACGACCTTATTATTAATGAATTAAGATTTTAACTTAAATAATTAACAGTATAGAGGGTTGTGAAGATGGTTAAGTTGTTTTTTAATTGAGATCATGAAGTGATTAGGTGTTAGACCATCAGTGAAACGACCGTCCAGTACTTCCAGATATTCAATGGTGATCTAACATCAGTTGGTTCATGATCTCAATTCAATAATGAAATTTAATTATTAATAAAAAGAATTTTTAAAAAAAAGTAGATAGTGAATAAAAGAAGTTTTATTCATGTTATTTCAATGATGAAATTGTTTACTTAATATTAGTTACATTGTGTAATAGAATGTAATAGAATCTAGATTAGATAACAAGAAATATGACATACTATATTGATTGATTGAATTAGATGCACTAAAAGAATTCAAATTATATCTTGGTATGGTTGAGTGTGGGGAGAGTCCGCTCTCTCTTTCTCGCTCACTCCAAATGCTGACAGGGCAGTTCTACTTCATGCCTTCTCGTGGTAGGAGTGTTATTGCCCCAAATGCTCTGTTACGGCCAAGAGTGGGGAGAGTTCGCTCACCCTCTCGAAATGCTCTCACATGGTCACGGGTATATAGCCTCTGCCAGGGATGTCCTACTCATTGCCTTCTCGTGACACTACTGTTGTCTACAAAATTGAGAGGACGAAAAGCGAATATCCGGCGCGTTAACCTGGTTGGTGGACACGGAGAGTTCACTTATGGGAGTTGGAAAACCCTGATTCCAAACCAATGATGCACATGGGCTCAAGTATCCTGAGAGAATAAATGGCGTATGAACCAATCGTTAGTCACCAGCTACCATGAGATTGCATCTCCTTCCGATGTTCCACTACCTTGTGGATCAGATGTTTACGTCGAAGGCTCTGAATGTGTCCCCTAAGAACACCACCTGTTTCGATTTGGGTACCCGAGCAGTATCACAGGCCTCACACATATCAAATCAGATTTGAGTGTGTGTATCTGGTTCCTCCTTGTACCAATATTAATGTGTTCAAATAAATAAATAAATAATAGGAGTGTTACTTACGAAATTGATAACGAATGTGTGAGAGCTGGGATACTACCCGGGTTCCCAAAGCGAAGCAGGTAGTTATCTTAGCAGGCTACACCTAGAGCCTTCGAAATAAAGGTCTGATTCTCAAGGCATAGGAGCAACGTAATGAGATGCAGTCTCATGATAGTAGGTGATCAATAATAAATTCATACACCGTTTGCTTCTCCAGAGCCCATGTGTACCATTGGTTTGGAATCAGGGTTCTCCAACTCTCATAGGTGAACTCTCCATGTCCACCAATCCGATAAAAGCGCCGGATATTCGGTTTTCGTTCTCTCAATTTCATAAACAATAGTCATGCCTCAAAAAGGCAGTGAGTATGACTTCATGTGAGAGCATATCGTGAGCGAGAGTTGACTCTCCCCTCTCTCAGCTGTACCAGCGCATTTAAGCGCTGGCACGTTCAATTGTTTTCAAAGTTATAGAGCTCATTGTGGTAATATTAACTTTCTATTGTTAGTGGTCTATGAATATTAAGTTAATCTTCTAATAAACACTTAAACTTTTTCTTACTAATTAATTCTTAACGTGAAAATGTATTCAAGATTGTACAAAACCTTCGATAAAAAATTATTGCTCAAAGTAATTTCATTACCTATTATATTCAGTCAGTCAGTCAGTCAGTCAGTAAGAAAGTAGAACTTTGTATGTACGTACATCAGTTCGACTTGCCATACCACATTAGCACAGAGATGCAGTTGTCCATTCAAATCCCGTAGTGGTGGAGGTAATAAGAGTATAAGCAGTAATCGGGAAGATTAGGGTTTGAAGATGTTATTTAAAGAGTATAATCCAGTGAAATAAATTTGGAAAGAGGAAAAGAAAAGGGACATAAAGAATTCAGAAGATTAGAATCTGAGAGAACACAAAGAGTGTATGCACCTGCGCCATTGCAAACGATTTTGAGTCATGTCATTCAAAGTCTCTAACCATCGGTTGCTATCGTCTCTTGCGGATCCCAACCAGGTAGTCTATACCTACCAACATGGCTCACTCAACCCACTTGTCAGTGAATTCATGGATTTGTGCCATGTTTTAGTCTGGTCGCCCCTAGCTTTCTTCCTACCTACTCCTATACCATGAAACATCGCATATCGGGGCAGTCAGTGGTTGGGCATACGTAACACGTGTCCCAGCCATCTCAACTGATGAAGTTTCACTACTTCACCAATTGATTTACCATTCGTACCTAGTACCCGTTTTCTAACAACTGCATTACTTACTCCATGGTCCCAGGATATACGGGAAATGTTTCGAAGGCACCTATGATCAAATACTAATAACTTACGAATATCCTCTACTCTTACCGGCCATGTTTCACTGACATAAATTAGGATGGAACAAACTGCTGCGCAGTAAACCTATTATATTAAAAGGATTAAAGAATAGATTGAAGAAGATAATATCGATTTTTCGCATTACTAAATACATTTTACAATGGAACATTGTACTTCAAAATGAAATAAGTCGTATTAGATAATCAATGGATACAAAAGAAATTCTTGTCAATAAACTTACATGTAAAAACATTCAGAGTTAAATAAACTATAGAAGCATTAAAATGTGGACAATTGGTATATAACTTTACAGATTTCACTATGATCTATAATGTTTCCCGTTAATTTATCTACTATTTATTATTATATACAGTAAATCATTATCAATGTAGATACATATGGTAATGTCCGTTTACAGAAATGTGCTTGTTTGTAATGTCCTATGTATGTAAATGTAAGTCAAAATATATCATCTTTTCCCATTGTTTTCCTTCTTTTTTTCTCCTTCTCTCTCCCTCTTACTCTCTCGCTCGCTCGCTCGCTCTCTAACACACATACTTATGAAGACACTGTCTTGTAAACTGTTTATTTGCTATTAAAACAAATGAATAATACATAAATCTAAAATCACTTCCAAGTTCAACTAATTTACAAGTATGCCTACTTTATATATAGTCTTCATATTCTGTTTATACTTCAAATCTACATTATCACAAATCATACGACCATTCATATTCAACTCCTTTCAACTGATACGTGTATATATATACACTGAAATAAAAGATTTATGTAGAAAAGAGAAATACCTTTGTCTTTTACTGTAAACGCCCTTCATGTTATCATTGAGTTAACAATAGTTTAGTTAAATATGTAAACAGTAAAAAAGTAAACAGATTTTCAAAGTTGTACTAAGTAACTTTTTCATAGTCAAACAATGGGCAGTACTGATTTTTCAAAAATTTTGTTCTGTCACTTTAACTACTTATATTAAATATCAGTAGACTAAGCATTTAAATTAAAATATTTGTTGATGTTATAATCTGGGAGAAAATCATTTAGTTTGTTAGTTAACAAGCCTTTAAACAATATGTATGTTCAGATTACAGTAATATTTTTCTAATGAGAATGGTTCCTCAAAGATTTCGTTATATTTTTAAGACGATCTTTTTTGCTGAAGACTACAACTAGTTATTATATGTGACAAGAAAAAATCACAAATTGATCAAGAATACTAAAGGTGGATTGCCTCGATATTGCCTTAAGTCACAAGCTTTTTAAGCAAAGATAGATAATGGCTAGCTTGTGACTCAAGGCAATATCAAAGCAATATGCACAGTATGCACACATGTCAATAAGAAATTGATCAACTGCAGACCTAAACATCAATGGAAAGATCTAAACAAAAAATACCAAGTGGATAATGATTAGTTGGTACTGATGATAATCATTTCACATAAAATTTACTTCAATGATTTTCCTTTACTAGCCGATTTAACGTCATCGAATCCTAGTTACTTATTTTTAGGTCTGTATAAAAGAGTATTGGTAATCCATAGATAGGTGAATTGGATTTTATGTTATTTGGAGCACCATAGCTGTGCATAAATCTCAATAATAACTAATTTACCTATTTAAAGATTGAACAGCAAGGCCTCCTCCAATAATACATGGAACTAAATTTTTCGAAGCTGGTATCACTTATTTCTATAGTGTGTTATATTACCGGTTTCTGTTTGTTACAATCTATTTATCTCTTTATTGAGTTTAGTTGAGTTTGTAGATTTTATTGTTACATTGATTGGTAATAAGTTATAAGATCTTTATTGGAAGGTTCCTTTCCTATTCTTCTACTAATCAAAGTATTTCTCGATATTGTAATTGTCTAACTTTCATGTGAAAAGGATTTATTTCATTCATCATCTAGAATAGCTTGGATTTAATCTTATGCTTTTTTTATATAAAGATGGATAGTGGCTAGTAGTGGAATCTAGTTTGACGCGTGTTTCGTCCTATTTTGGGACTCGTCAGCTGGATGTACCCGCATCTCCGAGTTTATGTTCACTCCAAGACTAGAACCCAGTATCGTTCGTTTCAAACGTCATCGCGTTACCCACTTAGCTACTGAGTTGTGATAGCCATTTGCTTGTGAAATGAGGTGAAGTTTAAATTCATTTGGTATTGTTGTTTACTTGGATCTTCTTATTGATGTTTAAGACTGCAGTTGATCAGTCTCTTATTGACATATGTTCATAATGTACCTATTGCTTTAATTCACAAGTTCTAATCATCAATGGGAAGATTCAAATAAACAATACCAAGTGAATCTTGTTGGGTTGTTTTCACTATTGTACAACCTACTATTTATATGAAGTTTAATTGCTCCGTATCAATGTAAACTGTCTAGTATTTTATCTATTTTTTCATATTTCAGCTAACACTGCAGTACCGGGATTTTTTCCACTTCAAACGGGGTAAGATTATAAAGTTTTGCCTGTGATTTGTACAGGAATTCTGATTATCCTATTATGATATATGATAAAATCTGCCAGAGGGTTAGTAACTAATAATCAAATGATCATTGCATAATTGGGCAGTTTCCTTTAAACTCGTAGCTTTTCATTTCTTAAAAGTTACGTCAAGACTATCAGTTCATATATGTTTAAGTATAGTTTTTGATGGAGTTTTGTTCTCTGATCTGGATGGTTTAGTTGTGGAGTTTTTTCTGAACGACATTATCAGCAGTACAAACTTCAGGTAGAAGTGTATAGTCTTAAAGCCAATTTAAACACAATAACATTATGAACACGTTGTTCTTGGCTAAATTCAAGAGTACAGTGTAGTAGCTTTCATACTTTCTTCTGTGAAGTTTCATTTTTATCTAAATATGATTAATAAGCCTACAATGTAATGCCTTATTATTAAGTGTCTATATGTATTTGGATCCTAGTTGGTAATTTGACACAATGGCTTATGGATTCTACTTTGATCCAATGGTCAATAGATTTCAGTTCTACACTACCTATTGATGCTTGATCAATCAATTAGTCTCGTTAGTCTTGATTCATTGTAGACCTTGAAATGTTGCACAAATCTTTGTATAGTTATTGAATAAGCATTTGTTATTCATAACCTTCGAGCTCACTTCATCTCTGTTTCTTGTTTTATTTTATAATCATCTATCAACAATTCAAGTAGAATTACATTCCTTGGATGAAATAGACTCACTTTTAACCTCATGAATTCTCCTACATCCATTTTTGTTATTTCGGCTTTCTTTAAAATGATTTATGATTTTAATGACTAAACTTTCATTTCGACATCTATTTCTATGGCTTATCAGGTGAGATAAATGTGAGTAAAAATAAAGACAATTTGTGTTGATAGTTGCATGGTAACTATATATCTATAGAATGATAGAATAAATTGTATCATAAAGTGATCTGATATCTCAAATATTCAAAGAAGATTACGTAATTAACAAAAGGGTTAGAGAAGAATGCACCAATCCAATCACAATTGACGGAGAAGATTTGGAAGATGTTAAAACCTTTACACATTTGGGCAGCATCATTGATGAGCAGGGTGGATCTGATGCAGATGTGAATGCGCGGATCGGTAAAGCAAGAACAGTATATTTACAACTGAAGAACTCGAACTCAAACAAACTGTCAACACACAACTATGTCAGAGTTTTTAATACAAATGTCAAGACATTTCTACAGTACGGGGCGGAAACCTGGAGAACTACCACAATCACATCCAGAAGATAAAAGTGTTTAATAACAATTGTCTACGCAAAATACTTCGGATCCGTTGGACAGACACTATTAGCAACAACGTACAGTGGGAGAGAACAAACCAGATCCCAACGGAGGAAGAAATCAGGAAGAAGCACTGGAAGTGGATAGGACACACATTGAGGAAAGCACCCAACTGCGTCACAAGACAAGCCCTCACATAGAATCTTCAAGGCCAAAGGAAAAGAGGAAGACCAAAGAACACATTACGCCGGGAAATGGAGATAGACATGAGAAAAATGAACAAGAATTAGATGGAACTAGAAAAGAAGGAAGAGTAGAACAGAGTGGGTTGGAGAATGCTGGTCAGCGGCCTATGCTCCATTAGGAGTAACAGGCGCTAGTACGTTAGTAAGTACGTAATTAACAAAAGGGTTAGAGAATAGTGGAAGGTTGAAAGTAATTTACAGGTTAGAATTATAAAAATAATTGTCCACTTGACAGATATGAAGAAAAATAGAAAACATAATGCTCATAATAATAAATGAATGATGATCGTAAAAAATTGTTAAAGGATAATAATAGCTGACTATGGCTTAAAATTACAATCGGAAGTTCGATGTATCATGTTTGCACACAGAGTTCGGGCTTGAATTGGTGGATCACTAACGCCTCAACAATGCATACCGTTTTGATTCGATCTCCCTTTAATCCAGTTCTTTTGAATTTGTTGATTATTTCAAATGAAGACTCCTTTGGAGTGACGTGTCGTGAGTTGATCAGGTGCTCTTGTATTGAAGTGGTGATTATTTTTCATTCTCTTTTTAACAATCACGCCTGTTGATGTTCTGAGATACGTTTGGAAGGTAGTCGCTTTATGCAACTAGTGTAAACTACCCCATGTGAGAAAGTAAATTTATAGATGCACGTCGATGTGGTTCAAAGCGACAGTTTATCCTAAAAACATATATTTGAATGGTGTGCTGACTTGAGAAGACAATACATAGTTTAACTGAATAGAAGATTTTATTCAAGGATTTTCAAAACCGTTTACTCAAGATTTCGGTAGCCGTATCTCTTCTATATTTGATGCTCATAAAAAGGAGTTTTCTTTTGAACTGTTGGCACTTTTTTAGGATGTTGTCTTGATGTTATGTTCCTATTGAGTAATCTAGATCGATAACCATTTCTGATGAGTATTTGCCAAAGTTGAAATGGTTCGCCATCTATTGTGTTATTAGAACATATTCGGTTAATCCTTGAGGATAAATAGTTGATTAATTTTCTGTTTCTACTCAGTGGGACCCAGTTATGAAAATTCGTATACTGACCACTATAAGTTAGCTTTTTACAGGTAGATCTCTGTAAGGAATCATTTTACCTTTTTTCAACTAGACATTAAGAAAGTTGAATTATTCGTTCGTCTTTTCTTCCAGTGTGAAGTGAATTGAGTGATAAAAATTAATGAATCGTTTATGGTGGAGTTTTGTTCTCTCTGAGCTGGATGATTTGGTCGTGAAGTTTTCATCATTCTTCTGAACGACATCATCAGCACAAACTTATTCACCATCTGACAAATAATGAATATATCATCCATATGTCTCTTATATAAATGAAATCCCTCAATTATTGATCGAAGTACCGTAATTTCCAGATTGACCATGAAACAATCAGCCATGAGAAAGCCTAGTTATGAATCCATTGAAATTCCAGCAGTTTGTCTATAGAAATTACTGTTAAATCTAAATCAAACATTGAGATTACATAGTAGAAGTAACTCTTTTAGATAATGTTATGGGATACAAATACCAAGGTTGTTATTATCAATATATTCATAGAAAAAATGTGTAGTTACTGTATGTGAAAGTGATATTCAGTGAGATTGCGTTTCTTCCATTTACACTGATATTTCTAATTGAGTCAATAGAATCGAATGAATGAAGTGAGTTGTATCTATTGATGAGATTTCTGACGGATTGTAACAATCCAGATAACTATTTCCTAATAAAATAATAAAGAGAGTTATTCATATTAAGTAGAATACATAGAGAGATATTCTTCTTATGAACTTTTGGAAGTGCATATAGTCTTGGCATAGCACAACCCAATAGTTTGACGTGTTCATAGAGATCACAAAATTGATAATAAACAAATCTTCCTTTGGATTTTAGTTGCCATCTGTTCTGTTTTCTTAATCGCACTTTCTTTTGAGTAACTTCTTTAGAGAATTTGACAAGATCAGATAATATCGAAGATGGTTTGATTATAAAGTCATGACGATCCATAAAGACAATTCCTGAACCGTTATCTAAGCTACACAGTACTAAATCCTGATTTCTTCGAAGATCAAATATTTGAGATTTATGTTCTTTTATGTGTAATCGTCTAGTTATAGGTATTATGATAACATTTTCATTACAACAGTTTACAAGAGTTATATCGAAATGCTCATAATCCTTATTAGATACTGGGATAAGGTCACTTACCTGATGAATAAGGTTTTCAAACTGCATTTTATCGTTCAGTTCAATGATGTTAGTTGACATCATACAAAATGTAGGACCAAGAGAAAATGCTTTTAGTTGAATAGTTGATAATATCGTACTATAGTAATTGAATATACATTTTTCATGGCGTCTCTGGATAAGAAGCCTGACTCTTCGTTGGTTCATGTCTTTCGTACGATTTCCGGTAACCATATCAATATAAAGCTAAAAATGAAGGATTTCTTTGAAAAGGAAATTGTCTTGCCATTGAATTCCCTTTTTTTAACTTTATTCAATGACACAATGGGCTATTTTGAATAAATGGAAATGATAGATTCCTCATATTTACAATTCTTTGATCTTCGTCGACAATCACTGTTGCTATTACAGATAACTTTCAGTTTACATTTAAACTACTTTGACTTATGGAAAAGTAACAAAGTCTTAGTTTGTTTTTTTATGATTACTATTGACATTAGTTGTAACTATGTGCTCAATACAAGTAATAGGGTGCACATACTTATTTACTTACTTATGTCTGTTACTCCTCGTCGAAAAGTATAGGCCGCCAACCACCACTGTCCATCCAACCCTTTCCAGTTCTTCCCAGTTGTTATTCATCTTTTTCATATCTGATTCTATTTCTTGACGTAATGTATTCTTCGGGTTTCCTCTTTTCCACTTCTCTTCAGGATTACAAGTTAGGACTTGTCTAGTGATGCAGCTTAATGATTTCCTCAATGCATGTCCTAACCACATCCAACGTCTTTTCCTTGCTAAAACATTTTTAACAATTATGTAGGTTAATAATATCATCTACCTCTTCGGTTTTCCTCAGTTGACCAATAGTCAAACTGAAGAATTATGAATTGAACAGTCAATAAACTGAACGTTATGATACTAAGTGACATGATATCGTAGCTTTGTGTATGTGATATTTCAAAAGTCTCAATAAAAATCGATCTTCCGCATCCTTCTGAAGAAAGTTATTTAGTGTTATACTATACAAAATTATGTTTACTCTATGTAAAACACTCAAAAAATGACAATGAACATGAGGATATGCCTTATGACTAAAATGTACTAATAACTATCTATTTCACTAATTTTCATTAATCAAAACTTATTTTACAATGGTTAGAATTCAGTTAATTCAAAGAAAAAATATATTATCTTACTTACTTACTTACTTACTTACTTACTTACTTACTTACTTACTTACTTACTTACTTACTTACTTACTTACTT